GGGTGTGTCCCTGATGGTTTCACCCCTGCGCACACATGAAGGTGTGTCCGTGGATGGTTTCACCCCTGTGCACACCCATGAAGCAGGCGTGTCTGTGGATGTTGCTCTGACCACCACACATACACTGTGATCAGGTTGGTTTCGGATGGATGTTGGTTTCGGCCATTACTGAGTAAGAGCGAGGCCTGCTCTGGCCCTCTGGAGACTTGAGCTCTTTCCGAAGCCGCCTCCCTGCTGTTTCCCTCAAGGCAGCTCTGACCCGAGGATGGAACGAGAAGTCTCGCAGGCCGACCCCCAGTCCAGGCTGTTGGGCCCGTCTCTGCGGCAGGAAGTGTCACCTGTGTGTGGCTTACCGTGTCCTTGCTGGAGGCCCCGGGGTCCCCGGGCTCCTGTGGCCCCTGCTGTCTCACTTGGCCAGGACCGTGAGGAGCTGGCGTGCCCGGCAGCTGACATCCGTGGTGAATGGCCACTGGGGTAGGCTCTCAGGTACCTGGCGGGGACCCACATACCCGCGGGGTGGCCCGGGGATGAGTTACAGGCTGAGAAGTTACAAATACCCCCGTCCCCTGCTCCTGACATTCACTAAGTCGAGGGAGGCGACTTCCAGCACCACCAGAATAAACGCCTTTGCGGAGTGACAGATCGGCTGTGTGTCCCCGTCCACAAGCGCTGGGGAAGGAGAGCGCCAGGCTTCCAGGCGACGGAGCCATGAGCTGTGCGTGCATGCACAAGTGTGCTTTTAGGGTCTTTTTTATTACACGAAACAGAATAACCGTCACAGTTTTAGTTTTGGATTTTGTGTCTGGGTGTGGTAGTTATTCCATCAGAAAACAGAACTCTTTTTCCTTTGAACGTGTGCTTTCAAAGAGTTGGTCTTGGGCTCAGGTCTCTGCACAACTAAGTCATTGGAAACAGAGGATTCAGTATAAGGAAACTACACCTCAGGTGACTTTCTGGGGTCCACTGATTTGTGGGGCACCATGCAGACCCCACAGCTGTGGGTCCGTGGCGTGTCCGTGGATGGCGGTTGATCTGCAAGTTGTGTGATGGGCTGGTCAGGGGGCAGGTGTCTGCTCTGCTCGCCTTGCCTCTGTCCCCCCCACCCCCATCCCCACCCCCACCCCCCCAGACCTGGGCATAGAGCGTGGAGCCAGCTGAGCACAGGAGGGTGAAGCCAGAAAGTCTGAGAGAGCAAGGCTGGCACTCAGGTGCCTTTGGCATCTGGCTCAACCATCTTGACCTAACTTCTTGGAGAAGTCTAGTTTCCTTTCCTTAAAATCAAGTACACGGAAACTTCTAGAGCAGGAGTTCAAAACACAGCCCACGGGCCAGATTGCCTGCTTTCGTACCACTCTCAAACTCAGAGTGGTTTTTACTCTTTCAAATGATTGAAAAAAAATCAAAAGAATAATATTTCATGACATATAAAAATTAGAGGAAATTCAAATTTCAGTGTCCACAAATAAAGTTTATTTTTATTTTTTGCAGAAATAAAGTTTTATTGGAACACTGTGCCATGCTCATTCTTTTACAAGCTCTCCGTGGCTGCTTTCCTGCTAACAAGGACTGTGTGGCCTCAGAGTTGAAAACGTTTATGATCCTTTTCAGAAACAGTGTGCTGGCGCCTGTCCTGGAAAACCGTCTCCCGTGCTCTCTCCTGGCTCCAACATTATTGGGTGCCCCAGATTCGATTCTGTTATTTCCGAACTCTGTTTTGAAGCGTTACCCTCCCAGGGGTCAGATGGGCACCTTCCCTGTGTCTCATCTCCTCACCCTCAGGGCCCCAGGAAAGGTGGAGGCCCCCAAGCTGGGCCCAGAGGGAACCTGGAATGTGGAAATGTGTGCTCCCTGTGTAGACAGGCCCCACTCGTGTGCTCCAGGATCCAGGAAAGGCTCGCTCCAACAGAGATATTTTTACAGATGTGTTGGATTGGGTCAAGGTGTGCTGAAAGCTGTCGTTAAAAGACCACTTTGGGATCATTTATTTTCTCAAGTGTTAGAGTCTTGATGTTCTTCCAAGCTGGAGAGCCCGCGAGGTGCTTTGTGGGTTCTGTGATTGGCGTGGAAAGTGCTGGGCTGGCGGAGTGGCTTCTGAGTCAGGCAGGCCCTGCCAACCCAGAGCAGAGGTCCTGCACTTGCTGGGGCACAGTCAGCCCCAGCCCCGGGGCAGCAGCTCGTCACCCCTCCCACTTCGTTCTGGGCCACCAGGGAGCGGTGGGCAAAGGTGGAGAGAGAGGAGGTGCTGCCAGCCAGCGCCCGTCACGCTCGTTGGCCCCGTGTCCTCCGAGGACTCATTTTCATCATTCTTAAGCCTGGAAAAATGTACTCCTTTGCCTCAGTTCCGTAGAACATGTACTTATTTATGTCTGGAATTTAGTTATTTAAGAAAATATAGAAATAGAGAAGGAAGAGAAAAATGTCTCAAAGAGATGGTGTTGACATTTTGGTGTATTAAAACTTTGCATCCTGTTTTTCTAGATGTGGATTATTTTCTTTGTAGTTTTTTGTGTGTGTGTGTGAGGAAGATCAGTCCTGAGCTAACATTCATGCTAATCCTCCTCTTTTTGCTGAGGAAGACCGGCTCTGAGCTAACATCTATTGCCAATCTTCCTCGTTTTTTTCCCCCTTTTTTCTCCCCAAAGCCCCAGTAGATAGTTGTATGTCATAGTTGCACATCCTTCTAGTTGCTGTATGTGGGACGCGGCCTCAGCATGGCTGGAGAAGCGGTGCGTCGGTGCGCGCCCAGGATCCAAACCCGGGCTGCCGGTAGTGGAGCGTGTGCACTTAACCGCTAAGCCATGGGGCCGGTCCCTCTTTGTAGTATTAATATCCTGCGTCTACGGTTCCCCAGACCCCCTAGCTCCGGTTATTCTGTGTCGAGGAAGGAACAGGGGATGAGCCTCTAACGGGCTGTGGATTCTAGGAGAACTTTCTCTTCTCCTACTCTCACCCCGTCTGCTGTGATCGGGGCGAGACGCCGCCTGGGTGCGAGTTTTGTGCTGAGGGTTCCCTGAGGGGCTTGGTGTTCACCACGCAGCGTGTTTCCATTGCCTTTCTGCGCCTTCCTATTGCGGGGCCAAAACGGAAGCAGCACCCTAGCCCGCTTTGGAGAGTTAATCCATCACTCGCTGTTGACTGTTAACGGGAGGGGCCCGGAGTGGTGCCCACAGTCCCACACAGAAATTGCCACAGCCGCAGGTCTACCTGCTGGTGAGGCCGGCACCACCCAGCTCATGGTCCAGGGGATGGTGTGATCCAGTGTTCTCACCTGGGCTGCTCATTGGAACCACCTGTGGGAGCTGCTCTCAGGATCTAGTCCCTGGGCCCGGGGCCTCCCAATCTTGGTTTAATTGCCCCAGGTTGGAGCTCAGCCATCATTCTTTGCGTTCTTTGCTTGGTTAAGTTCCCTGGGTCCCTCAATTATAGGTGGAGAAGCTGAGGTCCATGGGGGTGCAGGGACTTGTGTGGGGGGCAGAGCTGGGCTGGGGCCCCCGGCTTGACCTAGAAGCTGTGTCCTGTGCTGTCCAGTGACAGAGGACCATGCTCTTTTCTGCTTAACATGCATTCAGTCTATCTTATGTGCTTGCTGCCTGCAAAACAGAGGGTTTGCAGTCTTTCTGACAAGCTAGAAATAGAATCCGGGTGCAGGGGGCCTGTTGAGACTTGCTGTTAATCCATCATGTCTCTTTCATCCCGGCCTGAGAGTCTGGGTATTGCTTTTTTATCACCTTCCTTTAACATAAGCTTCTCCAGGATTGTCTGTCATCAGAATCCCATCTTCTCCTGTTTGTGTGTTTCGGTTGATTCAGGCGTTTCTATGTTTGACAGTATTTTTCTCCTCTGTGGTTTTTGTGGTTGATGCTTTTTTTTTTTTGTCCGCAAAGCCCCAGTAGATAGTTGTATGTCATAGTTGCACATCCTTCTAGTTGCTGTATGTGGGACGCGGCCTCAGCATGGCCAGAGAAGCGGTGTGTTGGTGCGTGCCCGGGATCCGAACCCGGGCCGCCAGTAGTGGAGCGCGCGCACTTAACCGCTAAGCCACAGGGCCGGCCCCTGGTTGACGCTTTTAATCAGCACTGACTCTTCAGGAAAAAGGTTTAGCTCTTCTCTCTCTGAGTAAAGAGCCACTGGTGTGTCTGGGGGTGGAAAGCATCTTATTGCTACAGGCTCAGACTTAGAAGCAGAAGCGCCCTCCGAGTTCATCTGGTCCTGACCGAGCAAGAAATTAGTCCACAGACGAGTGGGAGATCTTGGCCAGAGCCCACAGTGGGTTAGTTGTCTAGTCTTTCAAAACTCAACTCGATGTCGCCGGTGTGATCTGGGGCCTCCCTGTGCTGCATCCGGGGCAGGCAATACTAATCAATGAGCCTACCTGGTCTGAGACCCACACCTTGGTACTCCAGGCAGCCACTGCCAGTCAATCAGTAAGGGAGAGGACACGTGTTTTTCTTGCCCGTTCCACAGCACGCACTTTCTCTCTGCACAGCGTCTGCACCCAGGTAGGGGAAGCTGTGGGAAGGACCTGAGCCGGGCCATCATTGAAAATGTCATTCTTTCAGCTCTCTCGATGAGCCACGGCACCGGCTTTGTGCAGTGGCCTGGCAAGGTGCAGACGGAGCTGAGGCTGCCGGGAGTGGATTTGCAGGCAGCTCAGGCCCGGGGTTGGGTCAGGGGCCCCAGCCCGTCCAGACCTGTGTCTGCCGTCCTGCAGGTGATCAACGTGGACGGGACAAAGAGGCGCACGCTCCTGGAGGACAAGCTCCCGCACATTTTCGGGTTCACGCTGCTGGGGGACTTCATCTACTGGACCGACTGGCAGCGGCGCAGCATCGAGCGCGTGCACAAAATCCAGGCGAGCCGGGACGTCATCATCGACCAGCTGCCCGACCTGATGGGGCTCAAGGCCGTGAACGTGGCCAAGGTCGTCGGTGAGTCTGGTCAGCCTCCAGCCACGGGTCAGCTGTGCCGGCTGGCATAAGCAGCAGCAGGGTTGTGGCTGCCCTCCAGTCCCTGGGCAGCCCAGCTAGGGGCCAAAGTTGGGGCATAAGTGTCCAGCTGGGGCGCCCCACTCTGGGGACGGGCAGGACAGGAGATGACATCTGGTTAAGGACAGGTTGGAATGGGGTGGTGTGGTGACCAGGGATAGTGACTGGGCAGTGGCCGTGGACCAGCACTGCTGGCAGTCGTTGTCATAATGGCTGACATTTGCTGAATGCCTGCTGTGCCAGGCTCTGGCTAAGGGCCTTAGTGCCCAAAGCAACTGTATACACTAATTACAACATTAGTGTCGCTCCATTTACACAGGGGAGAAGGGGGCAAAGCCGTGTAGCTCAGGTCTCATGCCGGGTCTGCCTTGACCTCATGCCTGGGCAGGGCTGCGATCGTTGTCCACTGTGGCCAGTGGACACACAGGCAAGCACGCACCTGTTATCTGAAAGCCAGGATCCGTAAGAAGCACACTTCACACGGTGATGTGTGTCTTTATGAAAAGAATGCCGAATGCAGGTCAGCGAGCTTAGGGAGAGTAGCGTCCAGATGTGGTGGGGGGACGGGCCTGGGGGGCTCCGTGGGGGCGGGGCTCTGTTCCCCGCTGCGGCCCCAGTGCCTGGTACAGCGCCTGCACGTTGGAGGTGCTCAGCAAGTCTTTGCTGAGTGAATGGCCAGAGAGGACTCAGTGCTTGCCCTCAAGTACCTTACAGGCTAGTGATAAGACCCCCCTTAGTAAGCTCTGCTACCGGGTGGATGGCTACAGCTGGGACGTTAGGGGATGCCTGGCTTTAAAACACGACAGAAATAATTTGAGCTTGGAATTTAGGGAGCCGGGGGGGGGGCAGGGCTTGTCTGGCAGAAGGGACAGCGGAGCAGAGGCCTGGAGGCGAGGCGGTGGGGGTGACGGAGCAGCCAGTGTGTCTGTGTCGCTGGGAAAGGCCTCTAGTCGCAAGCTGCCCTCCTGATACAAAGATGCTGGAATCGACAAGCTGAGTTTTGCTGGTCGCCTTTTATTCGTTATCCACTGTGGCCAGCAAGGCCTCCCTGTGAGTGATTGTTTAGAAAACAAAAAGTAAAACCCCAGAGATAAGAAAAAAGATGTATCCATGGAGTGTGATTTAAAGTTGAGAAATTGGGCTTCTCTCTCCTCCTCCCCCCAAGTCCTCTCTCTCTTTCTGTTTCTTATCTCAGGATTTACTGAGGGAGATGGGGAAAAGCATTCTTTTTTTAGTCGAAATACTTAACACGAAATTAAAGCCAATGTTAGCAGCATTCCAGTAGATGAATGAGATTAACAGGCTGGCCAAAAATAAATGAGCGTGCTAAGTCCCATCTGCTTTAGAAAAAAGAGGTACCATGGGCCGTCCTGGGCGAGTCTGAGTTTTCAAGGTTGCTGAGTGGGTCAGTGAATCGGAGGAACCATCTGGGTGAAATCTCAGGCTCCAATCCAGTCAGCAGGCCAGGAGTCCAGGCCCCGGGAGGGGTGACTTGTCCCATCACTGCCTCATGGCATCCTCCCAGGCTACTGTGTGGACAGAAGGAGCTAAAACGCACTGGGATGCTCTGGTCCCAGAGCCAGCCCTTGTTTCCATCGTTACTGCCCCTTCCCCGCACCAGGGCAGGACCTTGGTTTCCGTCATCTCACCTACTCTCGCCATTTGACGTCTGGCAGAAATAAAGCCACACACGACTGTGGATGGAGTGCACCCCCCTCTGCTGGGCTGCTGATGTTGAGAGCCTGTGTGTTTCCTTCCAGGAACCAACCCGTGTGCGGACAGGAACGGGGGGTGCAGCCACCTGTGCTTCTTCACGCCCCACGCCACCAAGTGCGGCTGCCCCATCGGCCTGGAGCTGCTGAGCGACATGAAGACCTGCATCGTCCCCGAGGCCTTCCTCGTGTTCACCAGCAGAGCCGCCATCCACAGGATCTCCCTCGAGACCAACAACAACGACGTGGCCATCCCACTCACAGGCGTCAAGGAGGCCTCGGCGCTGGACTTCGACGTTTCCAACAACCACATCTACTGGACAGACGTCAGCCTGAAGGTACTGTCCGCTCGGGGTCCTACACGCACAGCTCTCCTGTGAACACCTTGCCTGGGATGGTACCACCTCAAAGCCTTAAAAAAAATTTTTTTAAAGAAATATAATATTTATTGTAACTTGATTCAAGCCAATAAAATATTAGTGAACCTATTTTAATAAACAAACATGAATGATTACAATGAGCAGGTCCAGTGGACACGTGTATCCGTGAAACGTTGTTAAAAATCGAGACTGTCTTCAGATTCTCCCCACCCACTCCCTCACCACTGCTCTCTTGCCTAGCAGGCTTTTTCTTCATTCACGGTACGAATATAAACATCCTGGATAAACACGGGGAAAGGCTTTTTCGTCTTCTAAAGCGGGGTTTGGCAAACTGGTCCGGGGGCCAGCCTCCTGATTTTATAAAGTTTTACTGGAACACGGTGACGCCCATTATGTTTATGGATTGTCTGCACGGGCTGCTTTTGTGCCACTAGGTTGAGTTACTGCGACAGATCCGTGTGCCCTGTGAAGCTGAAAATATTTGCGATCTGCTCCTTTACAGAAAAAGTTTGCTAACCCTTGTTCTAAAGTGTTGGACAACGGAAACAGTTTTATCATCTTTCTTTTATTCTACCAATTTTATTACATGTCTCTTAAAGATATTCTGATTTTAAAAGTCATAAGGGTTTGTTGTAGAAAGAAGGAAATAGAAAAGTATAAAGAAGAAAGTAAAAATCACCCGTAACCCCACCGTGTCCACCATTGCTGCCATGTCAGGGTATTTCCTTTGTTTTTTTTTTTCCTGTGTTAGTATTTCTCATAATCACAGTCCTATGCTCCATAGAATTCTGTATCTCGGTTTTTTCACTTAACCTTATAACTGGTATTTTATTAACCTATTATAAACTCTTTAACATAGTTCTTTAAATGTATAAAATATTCCATTGTACGGATATTCCCTGTTATACTTAACCATTCCCTTATTTTATTTTATTTTATTTATCTATTTTTTTTTTTAAAGATTTTATTTATTTTTTGCCCCCAAAGCCCCAGTAGATAGTTGTGTGTCACAGCTGCACATCCTTCTAGTTGCTGTATGTGGGACTCGGCCTCAGGCTGGACAGAGAAGTGGTGCCTCGATGCGCACCCGGGATCCGAACCCGGGCCACCAGCATCGCAGCGCGTGCACTTAACCACCAAGCCACAGGGCCGGCCCCATTCCCTTATTTTAAATGTTCTGATTGCTTCCAGCTTTTCCCAACTCTAAACAGTACCACAATAATGACATCTGTGTGTGTAAAGCCTTTATTGTATTTTCAGTAACTCCTCACTTTTTGTATTTTTATTAGTTCCTTGGGATAAAATTTCAGGAGGAATATTACTGGGTGAAAGGATACAACTATTTTTAAGGCTCATTGCATATATATATATAATACATATATATATAAATACAGCCAAATTGTTTTCCTAGGAAGGTTGTATTTTGCTGCATTTCAGATGTTCGTTGAAAACCTCTCAGATGTTGGCTGTCTGGCCACAGATGTGATCAGCAGTTGCTGCCGGGGGCTGAGCCTCTCACGGTCAGGTGTCTGCGGAAGTGCAGGTTGCTAACGGTGGCCCTTTCCTCCTCTCCCGCTCCCAGACCATCAGCCGAGCCTTCATGAACGGCAGCTCCGTGGAGCACGTGGTCGAGTTTGGCCTCGACTACCCGGAAGGCATGGCCGTCGACTGGATGGGCAAGAACCTCTATTGGGCCGACACCGGGACCAACAGGATTGAAGTGGCCCGGCTGGACGGGCAGTTCCGGCAGGTCCTCGTGTGGAGGGACTTGGACAACCCGAGGTCGCTGGCCCTGGACCCCACCAAAGGGTAAGGGCCGTTTTCGTCCGGCACACATGTCCCTGTCCCCTCCCACCTCTCGACATCAGCCAGCGAGGTGATGACCCTGGGCTGCGGTGGGTGGCTGCCCAGTTGCACTCTGTGCCTAGAGCAGTACTGACCGCCACTAGCCCTGAGGTGGCCGGGGCCCGTGGGACCCTTTGGAGGTCATTTAGTTCATTTCGCAGAGGGGAAACCGAGGCACAGAGCAGAAAGAAGGAACGGCAGCCGCTGTATCGGGCACTGTGCTGGTCATTTTCACGTGGGTTGTCGCATTGCAGCATCCAGGGGCCTGCGGGGGGTGGATACCTTTGTCCTGGATCTTACAGATGCGGAAACTGAGGCTCAGAGAAGCTGAGTGAGTTACCCACGGTCACGTGACTGGTTAGAGCAGGGCTGGGCCTAGAAGTCCTGTCTCGGGCTCCTGTCCTAGGCTCTCCCTCCCCGTGTCCCCAGACTCTGCTGTCCCAGCGCGGTCTGAGGTCCTCAGATTCCAGGCTTCTTGTAGGCTGCTTAGCTGTGGCTGAAGACCCGCCTTGTGAGGCGAGTGCTTTAATCCGCCAGCAGCCTGGGGGCCCCGCCCGGGCGCTGGGGCCAGAGCGGAGGGGCCAGAGCAGAGTCTGCCGCTGCCCTGGGGTTTTCTGTGCCGCCGACACAGCGCTCCCCCCATAAAGCCTCAGTGGTGTGTGTGGAGCACCCCATACCCTGCCTGTTGCATGCTCTGTTAGGGAAGGAAAGATTTCAGGATGGCAGAACAGGGAGCAAGAGGTCCAGGTTTTAGCGAGGGGACAAGTACAACGTACACAGTCCTGGAAGGAGAAGATGAGTTTCCTTTTCTGGAGCTGCTGCTGCTGAAGAAACAGGGAGGGGGAGCCGCTGGGGGCAGCAGAGCTGTGTGCATCCTGGCCCCACAAGGCCCACCTGCCGCGGGGGTCCTGTCTTCTGCCCTCTTTGAGTAACGGGACTGGACCCTCGATTTGCCCACCTTCATCCTGGTCCCCACCCCCGCAGTCACCCTGGCAGCCTGTCCAGCCCCTAGTCAGCGTTTGTGCCTGACAAAAGTAGTCCAGCCTGGATGTTCTGTCACACGGTCACCTGTCTGTGTGCCCGGTTGGTGTCGTAAACGGGGTATCGATGCTTACTGTGCGGGTGATCTGCTGCGGGAATTCAGGGGGCAGGAGGTGGCACAGTGACAGCCCCGGAGGGACGTTGGGACTGTGGGGGCTCAGGGGTCTCGCCCCTTCCCTGCTTCCTGGAGGAATGTCATTGATGCGGCTTTCTCTGGGATGGGGAGGGCCAGGCCGGGGAGATGGCGGCGGCGGTGTCCCCGGCCCTGCGGTGAGCGTGGACGCAGCTGAGCCCGCCCCACCCTGCTCCCGTGTCTTCTAGCTACATCTACTGGACCGAGTGGGGCGGTAAGCCCAGGATCGTGCGGGCCTTCATGGACGGGACCAACTGCATGACGCTGGTGGACAAGGTGGGCCGGGCCAACGACCTCACCATCGACTACGCCGACCAGCGTCTCTACTGGACCGACCTGGACACCAACATGATCGAGTCGTCCAACATGCTGGGTGAGGGCCGGGCGGGGACCTGCCGGGCGGAGGGCGTCGGCCCTGCAGGGGTGGAACTTCCCGGGGCCTGGGCATTGGCTACCTCTCAGCCCCTGCTGCCCTGTGCCCTCTGACCTGAGTCCCCAGGCCCCACAGAAGGTGTGGACATGCCTCTGAGTTCTCCTCCACCTTCGCCCTCCCCGGGGGCTGTCCTTTTCCACCCCTGGTGCCATTGCTGTAGGTGTGTCAACAGAGGCCCGGGTGACGGCTGTTTCCTGCACGCCTACTAAGTGCCGGGTCCCAGCCAAGCCATGTGCCAGGACTCTAATTTGACCCTACCCCACATGGCGCAGGTTTTCATTGATGGGGAAACTGAGGCCCAGGGAGGTCACGGGAGTTACCTAAGGTCGCAGAGCCTCACTCAGACCCCAGAGCCACGCACTCAGTCTCCCTCCAACCCTGAGCACCTACTGTGTGCTATGCATTGTTCTGGGACCACTCACAGGCCACACCCACCGCCCTGGGATTAGGTTAAAAAAAAAAACTCACGTCAAGTCACCCAGCAGTGGGGACAGGATTGAACCCAGGACACATGACTGTGGACTCCATACTGCTGGGGGGGAGTGGTTATGTTAGCTCTTTCGGGTGACACACCAGGTGATGGGGCCACCCTGTACAATGAGGAGGATTTGGCTTCCTTCCTAATCATTGCTGCTGCCACCTGTGGTGGGCGTAGATGTGCCCATTTTACAGATGAGGAAACTGAGGCAGAGGTGAGCTGAAGGGCTGATCCCAGGTACTGTGTGGCCCGAGCTGGAGGGAGAACCCCCACGTCCTGGTTTCTGCTTGGGGCGGGCTGCCCCACCCTGCGTGCCGACTGTCCTGCTTCATGAGGCCAACGGCAAGGTGTGAATGTGTCTTCAAGACCACCACCCCAGCCCCGCGGTGGATTCCGAGAGGCCGCCACCAGATGAGACACCAGTCACAGCACAGCTGTGGTTGCCTGAAATCAGCAAGTTCACTAATTACCCTGAATGAGGACACATTTGGACAAAAGCTAGGGAGAGCCCTCGACACTCGCATGACCCTGCAGGTCGAGGGTGGCCATGTGCTTGGGCCTGACTGTCACTCTGCTGCAGCACGTTCTCCATTAATGCCACAGATATTCACTGAGCTCTTCATTAATAGGGTGTGAGGCCCCGGGCGAGTGAAGGATGATTGGTAACGGTGTCTGTGTGGGTAGAGCTGGGTGTGGAGCACGAGCCTCGGGCATCACTGTCTGCATTGTAGTCCTGCCCTTGCCACTTACCAGCTGTGTGACTTTAGCCAAGTTACTTAACATCTGTGTGCCTCAGGTCCCTAATAGTACCTTCCTCATATGGCTGCTGTGGTGAGAATTAAATGAGATAATATGGAGGAAGCACTCCACCAAGCCTGGCACACAGTAGGTGCCCTCGGAGCGTTTAGTTACAGTGATGGTTGTTGGAACACTGTCCACTCTCAGGCCAGGGCCGAGGGGCAGGGGTTGTGTGCGATGGAGGCAGTCAGGGAGCGTCTTTATTCAATAACTTTTTTTTCCTAAAGATAAAATAATCAACTTAGAAAATTTCTGAAAAATATGAAGAAAAATTATAATTATCCAGAATGGCACCACTCAGTGATAACTGGTATTCACATGTTGGCATATTTCTTTCAGTCCCCAAATCTTTTTAATTGATTTTTAAGTTAAATATCCTTAACGGTTAATATCTGAAGATTTTTTTCACTTTTTAAAAAGAATTTTTAAAATGTCATTTTGTCATCATGCTGTATATAAATTTCTTTTGTTTTTTTTTAATAATTTTATTTATTTATTTTTTTCCCCCAAAGCCCCAGTAGATAGTTGTATGTCATAGTTGCACATCCTTCTAGTTGCTGTATGTGGGACGTGGCCTCAGCATGGCCGGAGAAGCAGTGCGTCGGTGCGCGCCCGGGACCCGAACCCAGGCCGCCAGCAGCGGAGCGCACGCACTTAACCACTAAGCCACGGGGCCGGCCCATGCATATAAATTTCATCCTGCTTTCTTTTACTCCCATATGTGACGAGCATGTTCTCATGTCATGAACGTGTTCTCATTGGCACCGTTTTTGCTGTGAAGTAGAGCATACTTGTGTTCAGACGACACACAGTGTGACGAGTGACGACCTGGAGAGCACGGCCTGGGGGAGGGAGAGCCCTTGTTGAGTGTCACCTGCACACTCTCCGTGCCCCGTGGCTCGGCTCCCATTGGTACCCCTTTCGCTGCACGCTGTCCCACTCGGCTCTGAGCCGGGGTGTTCCCCATCGCATCCCCCAGTAGGTGTGCATCGCTGTGCTCAGTGCACGGCTGCTCTGTCGTATGGTTAGACCACGCACAGTTCATTTCACAAGTCCTCCGCTGCTGGCGTGTAGGGTGGCACCAGCGTTCCAGGTGACGGTGCTGGGTGAATGTCTGTGTTGGGGTGGTTTCCCTGAAATTGATCTGGGAGTGTAAAAAATCACCACCAGCTTGTGTGAGTGTCCTGGGGCTGCTGTAACAAATGACCACAGATCTAACGGCTTAACACAGCACACAGTTCTTCTCTTACAGTTCTGGAGGCTGGAGTCCCAAATGGGGCTCACTGGGCTAAAATCAAGGTGTTGGCTACCTTCCTTCCGGAGGCTGCAGGGGAGAGTCCGTTCCCTTGCCTTTTCCGTCTTCTAGAGGCCGTCTGCATTCCTTGGCTTGTGGCCCCTTCCTCCATCTTCAAGGCCAGCGGGGTAGCATCTGCCGGTCTCTCTTACTCGTCCTCCCTTTTACGTGGACGCTTGTGCTTATACTGAGTCTACCCAGACAATGCAGGACCATCTCCCACCTCACAATCCTTAGCTTAATCACACCTGCAAAGTCCCTTGTGCCGTGTTAGGTAATATATGCACAAGTTCTTGAGATGAGGTTGTGGGCGTCTCTTAGGGGGTATTATTCTGCATGTACTTTTTACCAAGCGCTTACTGTGTGCCAGCACTATGACCATTTACATGCACCATCTCACTGAGTATTTATCACGACATCATCACAAGTCTCATTGACCGCTTTGTCACAATTTATCACATTTCAGTATCCTGGATACCCACGCGGGCACTCTGAAGAATACCCATCTTGCAGGTGGGGAGACTGAGGGTCAAGGAGCTTACGCGGCTTTCCCGAGGTCACATGCTGATCGGGGGGGGAGCGGGGTGTCCAGGCTGACTCCAGAGCCTGGTTCCAACCACTGTGGTGAGCTGCCTCCCCAGACTGCTGGGCTGAACGGGATGAAGATTTATTTAAAGTTGTATTTTAAAGTTTTTATTGACATATCACATATATATAGAGTAAAAAAAACTGTAAGTAAACAAGTCGAAGGATTTTTACGTGCAGATGCTCATACATACAACATACCCCATGTAGCTCCCACGCAGATCAAGGCAAGGAATTTTCCAGCCCTTAAAAGGCTCCTTTGTGCCTCCTCCTAGTCAATCCCACCATCCTCCTCAGGGGTCACTGCTGCCCTGACTTCTATCTCCATGTGCCAGTTTCGCTGTTCTAGAACTTTCTGTCAGTGTGATCCTACAGCACGTGCTCTTTAGTGTCTGGCTTCTTTCACTCAATCTAATGACTATGAGATTCGCCCACGTTCTTTTTTATCCCTGCCTCATTTCCATTTTATGAAGATCCACCATTATATTATCCATTCTACCGTGCACGGACGTTTGGGTCGTTTCCAGCTTGTGGCTGTGACAGACGGCTGCTGCTGTGCACATTCTTGTCTGTTATTTGGGTGGACGTTGCGTGCATGTCTCTTGCTGTGTGGGAGCGGACTTGCCCAGTCACAGGGTAGGTGGACGTCCAGCTTCGGTCGATCTCGCCCGTTTTCCAAAGTGGTCGAACGCTCTGTGGCTTTGACGTGAGTTGCCAGGCTGGCGGCAGGTTGAACTGGTTTGCCCAACAGGGCGCCCTTGCGTGTCCTGGCTGTGCCGTGGCTGATGCCATGCCCGTGTGTCTCCACGCAGGCCAGGAGCGGGTTGTGATTGCTGACGACCTCCCGCACCCCTTTGGCCTGACACAGTACAGTGATTACATCTACTGGACCGACTGGAACCTGCACAGCATCGAGAGGGCCGACAAGACCAGCGGCCGGAACCGCACCCTCATCCAGGGCCACCTGGACTTCGTGATGGACATCCTGGTGTTCCACTCCTCCCGCCAGGATGGCCTCAACGACTGCATGCACAGCAACGGGCAGTGCGGGCAGCTCTGCCTCGCCGTCCCCGGTGGCCACCGCTGCAGCTGTGCCTCACACTACACGCTGGACCCCACTAGCCGCAACTGCAGCCGTAAGTGCCTCGCTTTCCCCATGCACCTCACCCCCATGTTAGATCAGCTTGGCTCTGGGGGATAAGGTGGAAAGGAGCTTCTTATCTGGGGATACCTTGGTGCACATGGACAGTTGGGCAGGTTGTGCACTGCACATGCTGTAATGCTCCTTGATGGCCTACCTTGGGTGGAACACCTATTGCTTCATCAAGACACAAGTAATTGGGCCAAGCTCTCAGCTGGCACATTCCATGGGAGGATCTTTGGATGTGAAAACCAGTCACTGGGGGAGAGCACTCACTTATAAAGCCAGGCATTGTTCTAAGTGCCTTTTAATAGGGTAGGGAGGATCACTGTCCCCATTTCACAGACAAGGAACCTGAGGCACAGAGATGCACAGTAACTCACCTCAGGTCACACAGCTGGTAAGGTACAAACCAGGTTTGAATCCAGGCAGGCTGGCTCCAGAGTCCTGCTCTTGACCCTTTGCTGTGTGGCCTTACGCTCACTTGCGTAATCCTCGCCATGATCCTCTGCAGTGTAGGCCTTTTGCTCTCATTTCCATAAGAAGAGTGAGGTTCAGAGAGCCTGAGCGCCCTTCCCACGCGCCCACGGGGAGAACAGGTGTGTCCTGTTGGCGGGCTTTTCTTCTGTGACATCAGCAGAGAGCCGATCATAACTCAGCCTCGGAGCAGCCTTGACAGTTGATAAGCTCCCTGTCGTCTGGGGCCTCGTCTGAGCCCCGTGCAGCCCCGGGCATTGGGAGGGCCGGTCCTCCTTATCCGGGTCACGCACATGAGGAACCAGAGGCTCCGAAGGGCTTGTTCAGGGCCCTGAGCTGGTACGCGATGGGCCTGGGGCCACAGCCTGGGATGCCCCACTCTTGGGCTCCCTGTGGTCCCCACCCCCTAAGGGCCATTCTTTGAGGGGTCAAGTGGAGGTGCAGGTAACCCACTGCCCGGAGGGACACATGAGACTCGGGTCCCCGCTCCAGTGGCCGGCAGACCTGGGGCCGTGCCTTGGATTCACACCGCCCAGCTGTAACTCTCTGACAGCAGCTACAACTGGTGGCCTCCCACACGTTCTGAGTGACGCAGTTTCTGAACCCAGGCAGCTTTGCTCAGTGACACCCCAGAGGAGGGTCCCCTCCCAGTGTCACTGTTCAGTTTGCCAGTTTTCAGCAGTTCACTTGGGCACATAGAGCCATATGGCAGATTGCACAGCCCCGAGCACGGCGACCATTTGTGGGTGGGAGTTTGGGTTCACCACCCTTACTTTTGTCTTCAGTCTTGATAATTTAAAAATAAATTGATGTCTATTTTTAAAATAACACAGGCACTCGTAAAATATTGGAACAGCAGAAACACACGGAACAAGGAGAGTAAAATTCCCCCTAGTCCACCCCCAAGAAATAGCTTCATGTCCTTCCCGCCTTTTTTCCGCGCACGTCTAGTGGGTGCGTACACAAATCTACTTTTTACCGTAAAGTGGATGTCGTCCATCCCGCCACCGCCCTCTTCGGCTGCCGGAGGCTGACACGCGGCCCCCTCCTCTGCTTGCCTCACTCTAGCGCCCACCGCCTTCTTGCTGTTCAGCCAGAAATGTGCCATCAGCCGGATGATCCCCGATGACCAGCACAGCCCGGACCTCATCCTGCCCCTGCACGGGCTGCGGAATGTCAAGGCCATCGACTATGACCCGCTGGACAAGTTCATCTACTGGGTGGACGGGCGCCAGAACATCAAGCGAGCCAAGGACGATGGTACCCAGGCAAGTGTACCTGGGGGGACGTGGGGGCACTTCCGTGAGGAGCTTGCCCTGGCGGTTTCCAGGCTGCGCCCCCTTTTCTTAGCAGAGGGGGTGCCAGCAGAGCGTGGTTTGGGGTACACAATGACTTGGGTTCCAGTTATGTCATTGCATAAACCTGAGTGGTGTGAACCCCTTAGACAGTGATTATATGTAGAAACTGGATTTTACAGTTGTTTAAGTAGGGGTGGGAGGGGCAAACCCCGCAGGATTTCTTTTCTTTCCACAGTGGTTTTGTGCACGGATAGTCGCTATTGGTAATTCTAGATTTATCCTTTATTGCGTAGGAATTGTATAGTCAGTTCTGCTGTAATGCAATATACGCGTTCCTAAAAATCACCACCCACGCAAAACCACACAGTGCAAACCGCAGGGCTTGTGGGAAGAGGGGGCTAGACGCACAACACTCAGGCTCTACCAGTGATACGTTAGAAAAAAAGGTAGGAACCTAATAATTCAGAGCACCTTTTTGCCCATGTTGGATGGTCCAATGACTATGGGGCTTTACCTCTAAAAGACCTGAAGTTGGCTGAGGACATGGGCGTCAGAAGGTTGTGGCTTGTGGGTTTCTGAGAAACGGTGGAAGGAGGATGGTCTGAAATGGGACAGAAAGTTATAACCCCAGTGTGGCTGGCGCGGCTCACGGCGCACGGGAGATGGAGGATGTGGGGGCGGGGGGTGTGTGTGTGTGTGTCCTACAAGGCACCGTGCTGGGTGCAGGTCTCTCCCTTCACCTGGTGTTTCTCGAGGATGAGATTGCACATTAGCAAGTGCGAAATCCGTGTTATGCTCTGATTGTCCCTGATACGTCACTGCATTGCAATAAATAGGCATTTTCAAAACGTGCCTTCTAGCAGAACTGACTGCTTCTCTGGGTTAGGTTTTGTGACCTCTTCCAGGAGGACGTTCTTGCTGCGGCCTCAGGGTGCTCCCGGCATCCCCTCGTGGCAGGGAACCGTGACTGGCATTCCATTAGGATGGAATTTGCGGACCTGCCTGGCTCATGGTGCCAGATCCAAAGACTGCTTTTACAAAAGCCACAGACAGAACCGACCGGTCTTTCTCGAGCGAGTGGTCAGTGCAGGGGCTTACATGGTCACAGGAAGTCTTGATACCGTTAGAACAGCCGCGCAGAGGAATGCTTGTGGGTGGAGATTTCCAGATGATTTTCGTGTCTGTAGAGTCGATTTGGCTCTTCCCTACCCTACGAGCTGGGCGCTCATGCTGTCTGGACGGGCTGGGCATCGCTGTCGACAAAATACTTCATCTGGCGACGACCATGTGAAGTTAACAAGTCGTCCTTTGAGGTCTGCGTCCTGGGTTGATGGTGACAGCCGTGTCTGGGCAGCTGTGATCATCAGCGCCGTGGGGGCACAGCCTGGTAGAAATGGTGGAAATGGGTTCCTTTCATCCCGCTCTGCTCTGTGCAGCTGACAGCCATGTTGAGTCCTTTGGAGAATAGAGAGTGTTAATTGAGGGACTGTGCCTTCCCTGCTGAGAAAGTTACTGGGTGCAAATTGCCTTAAAGTCTCATCGGAGAGGCGTTCTTTTATGGTGTCCGGCAAAAGGGGGAGAAAGACTGAAGAAAAAGACCTTTAGGAACAGCTTCTGGGTTTCCACTTATTTCGGAAGCCGTGCAGTTCCCTCCCTGCATCTCTTGTCAGCTGAGCTCTACCCTCCGGCGGCTTAGCCTGTGATTCTTCTTGGGGGCACACCACCCCCAGGATGATGTTTTAACTTATCATCTGCTTGGCCAAGTTGTTTTTCCTATTTAACTGTTTATTTTTTTTATTGTGGTAAATATACATAACATAAAGTTTACCATTTTAACCATTTTTAAATGTACAGTGCAGTGGCATTAAGTGCATTCGTATTGTTGTGCAGCCATCCTCACCATTTGTCTCCAGAACTTTCTCATCTTCCCAAACTGAAACCGTCCCCATTACACACTGACACCCCCTCCTCCCCACCCAAGTCCCTGGCACCCACCATCCCACTTTCTGTCTCTATGCATTTGGCTCCTCTAGAGACCTCCTGTAAGTGGAATCACACAGCATTTGTCTTTTTGTCTGGCTTATTTCACTCAGCATAATGTCCTCCAGGTTCATCCACATCATAGCAGGCATCGGAATTTCCTTCCTCTTTAAGGCAGAGTAATATTCCATTGTATGGATAACCACATTCTGCTTATCCATCTCTCCATGGGTGGACTCTTGACTTGCATCCCCTTTGAGCTGTTGTGAAGACGCTGCTGGGGACATTCCCACTGGCCAAGTACCACTTTGTACTGGTGAAGAGGGAGGGGTGTCGATGCTGGTGTTGAATAGGATTCTACTAAGAAATTCTGCATTGGTGTAGGTGTTGTTACTTACATTAAAATTGGAGTTCAGGTTTTACAAAACTGGCCAGCCGTGTCAAGTGTGTCTCATTTTTATCTGCCTGGGAAGGGACATGGCAGCCTGCCCCTTCACCCCATGCGCATTTCTTATTCTGATGACTATGCCAAAATCCCACAGACCCACCCTCCCCAGGGAGCCCCATTCCAGCCGGGCTAGCTGGAATCTCCCTTTACTCCCAGCCCGACAGCTGCCCCCGGCTGTGGTCTTGGGCCAGAGAGTTCTGTGGCTTTGGGGAAAGGAATGTGTCTGGTTGGAGCTGATGCTTGGCTCTAGGGCCCACAGCCCTCGGGGATGTGCGTGTTGTTACCTGCAGAGACACGAGTAACCCTTTTCCAGCCTCCCAGCAGGGCTGGACTGGAGGCTGCTGTGTGTGTGGTGGGTAGGGGGTTGGCAGTTCTCTCCAGCTGGGGCCAAGAGGCTGGGCCAGGGGAAGGAGGCTTCCTTTTGGCTGCAAGCCCCTTCTCATCCGCCGGGAGGTTTCTTGTTTTACTAGCTGCTGACAAGAGGTAGATAAGGAAAATCTGCACTGAGCTGTGACCAGAGAATCTTCTAAAGATGATTCCCTTCTCAGAGGAAGGGAGTTTTGTTCCAAAGTGTTGGCGGCAGCAGCCCAGCGACTCTGGGAAGCCCCCTTTGCACCAAGTCAGGTCACCTGAGAACCTGATGCAGTTGTTTGGGGTAACCCAAGGGGACCAGAACCACCAGGGAATCAGGCTTCTTGTCTATGAGGGACAACTCCGGGCTCCCCTCCTTCTGCATCAGCTCGTGAAACAACATACCTTTGAAAGGATTCTCTCTCAGGGGCTCCAAAAGCCAGGGCTCGTCCCTGACACAGCAGATGGCATGGAGCCAGGGCAGAGCTCTCAGGAGACTCTCCCGGGTGGAGACCCACAGAGTGTGACAGGGAAAACTGGCACTGAGAGATGCGGCTGGCCCCAGGACTCCCAGAATGCACTGTGAGTCATGCCAGCACCCTCTCCTGGCCCTGCGCCCTCTCCCCTCCCTGCGCCCTCTCCCCTCCCTGCACCCTCTCCCCTCCCCGCACCCTCTCCCCTCCCCACATCCTCTCTTCCCCCCGCACCCTCTCCCGGCACCCTCTCCCTGCACCCTCTCCTCTCCCTGCACCCTCTCCCCTCCCCACATCCTCTCTTCTCCCCGCACCCTCTCCCTGCACCCTCTCCCCTCTCCACACCCTCTCCCCTCCCCACATCCTCTCCTCTCCCTGCACCCTCACCCCTCTCTGCGCCCTCTCCCCTCCCTGCACCCTCTCCCCTCCCCACACCCTCTCTTCTCCCCGCACCCTCTCCTGGCACCCTCTCCCCTCCCTGCACCCTCTCCTCTCCCTGCACCCTCACCCCTCTCTGCACCCTCACCCCTCCCTGCACCCTCACCCCTCCCTGCGCCCTCTCCCCTCCCTGCGCCCTCTCCTGGCCTGGTACCCCTGGCCTCTCTCCCTCAGGGAAGAGGGTTGTGAGGGGTGGACCTCTGCTCTGTACACCTCTGTCCTGGCACCTTAAATTTAAAAAACAACATGATTTGAGTGTCTTAATCCAAAATCCAAATTTCAAAGAAATGAGAAGGAAGAGAGACGATGCTTGAGCAGGTTCCTGTGATCCTGGGCTGAGTGTTGAGCCGTCAGGCGGTCCTTCCGTGGGCAGGAACAGGACCAGGAGAGCATGGGCGCGGCTGGTCTGGGCAGCTGACAGCGGGCTGGTGAATTCACTGATGGGTGGGCCTGAAATCTGGATTCATGGGCGCGAGTCTTCTGGAATCACTGTTTCACCCTCCAGCGGGCGTGTGGGCGAGAACTGGTTTGCAAGGAACGGTCTGCAGACCCGGTGCAGCTTTGACAGTGTGTCTGACCTCCGGCCACAGCTGCTGCCCTCCCGTGATGCGATGTCTCTAGCGGGTGCCCGTTTCTCACTGTTTTACAGCCTTTCGTTTTGACCTCTCCGGGCCAAAGCCAGAGCCCAGACAGGCAGCCCCACGATCTCAGCATTGACGTCTACAGCCGGACGCTCTTCTGGACATGCGAGGCCACCAACACCATCAACGTCCACCGGCTGAACGGGGACGCCATGGGCGTGGTGCTCCGTGGGGACCGTGACAAGCCGAGGGCCATCGTCGTCAACGCCGAGCGAGGGTGCGAGGCCCAAGGGGTTGACGGGCAGAGCGGTGTGGGGTGCTCACCCTGCTGGGACGAGCCGGGCGGCCCTCCCTGAATGTGAGCTTCTCAGGGGCTGGGAGGGGTTTTCTGCCCCGACATTCCAGTCAATCGGGCTCCCCAGGGTCCCCGCCATAGCAGCCAGAGCAGGACGTGGAACACTGGCTTATTCACAGTCACAGCAGGAAAGTAGAGACTCAGAGGGATGGCCTTAACAGGACATGTGTACAGGGACAGCGTGAGGGGGGTGGTTGCTGAGAGACACAGAAAGGGTGTAAGTTCTAATTCATAGATTTTGAACCTGATACAAAAATCCCTTCCGTAGCATCCCAGGTGGTGGCTGGTTATTCACTTGCATATGTTCCACCACGGGGAGCTCACTACCTTACTGGGTTCTGCCTCGACTCCTGGGAGCCTCTTCCTTCCGTGAAGGTCCCTGACACCCTCACTGTCAGCCCTCAGGTTCTCTGTTAGATGGGAGGGCAGCCAGGATATGTTGGCAGCCTTGGAGGGTCCCAAAGGGCATAACTGGGGTGGGAGGGGACATAGAGCCACCTGACATGAAGCTCAGACGTTAAGCCGAGCCACCAAAGGTTTGGGGGCAGGAGCACGTGGCCATCTTCAAGTACCTGCAGGGCTGACGTGCAAGGTGGGAATCATGTCGGGCGCTGCTTATGGAGCTCCCGCCCGGAGACGGCTAGAGCCAGCACAGGTCCTGGGGCCGGGCAGCCCTGACTTCAAATCCTCCATCACTTACTGCCTGTGTGACCTCAGGCAGGCGATGTGACCTCTCGGGGATTCAGTTTCCTTGTCTGAAAAGTGAGGACGACGTACCAGCTCCTGCAGCACACGAGGCTCGGCGAGCGGAAGCCCTAGTTATGTGAGGGGCTCTTCAGGAACCGAGTGAGCCGTCCCCGAGGCCGGCCTCCACAGGCACAGGGGCTTCTCAGCAGCTGCAGAGTGAGGGGGCGAGTCGAAGTCCCCGGGGCTGCCGCAGCAAATGGCCCCAGACTGGGGGGCTTAAGACAACAGACGTTTCTTCTCTCACAGTTCCGGAGGCCAGAGTCAAGTGTGGGCAGGGCCAGGCTCCCTCCAGAGTCTCCAGGGGAGGGTCCTTCCTGCCTCTCTCAGCTTCTGGGACCTAGGTGTTCACATCACTCCACACTCTGCCTCCATTGTCACACTGGCTTCTTCTCTGTGTCTCTGTGGCCTCTCCTCTCTTTTAAGGATACTTGCATTGGATTTAGGGCCAGTATGGCCTCATCTTGATGCTTAATTACAACTGCAAAGACCCTGTTTCCAAATAAGGTCACATTCTGAGGTTCTGGGTGGACACGAATTCTTGGGGGACACTATTTAACCCAGGATAGGGCATGACCTTGCAGCCTCGGGGGCCAGCCCCGAGAGGCCGGGGCCATGTGACAGTTAACTTTCCAAAGCCCCATTGGATGCCCGCAGGGTCAGGGCTTGTCTACCGGGTGCTTGGCCTGCTCGATTCTGGCTGAGGAGCTGGCAAGACGCAGCACTGTCGCTCACCTGCTCCCCTCTCGCAGGTACCTGTACTTCACCAACATGCAGGACCGAGCCGCCAAGATCGAGCGCGCGGCCCTGGACGGCACGGAGCGTGAGGTCCTCTTCACCACGGGCCTCATCCGCCCCGTGGCCCTCGTGGTGGACAACACGCTGGGCAAACTCTTCTGGGTGGACGCGGACCTGAAGCGTATCGAAAGCTGTGACCTGTCGGGTAAGCGCCTAGGGCCTCCCCGGGGATCGGGTCCCTCAGTGGCCCTTCCCAGCTGACCTTCCCAGGGACGCCCAGTCTTCCTTGTCATCAGTAATGGCAGAGGCAGTGGCCACGTTTGTCAGGGACCCACTGTGAGCGGGCACCGTGCTAGGCTTTTACATACACCACCTATAGTCCCACCTGTGAGTTCCAGGATGTAGGTCCCAAATGATCCCCGAATGGCAGAGGCAGGAGATGAGGCTCAGAGAGGGTGAGTGAGCTGTCCAGGGTTCCACAGCGTGGGGTGGAGCAGGAGTCCGACCCTCTGCCTCCAGTGCGCATACTCTTGACTGCTCTGCTGTGGGCTCCCTCAGACCAGGAGGCCACCGTGCAGGAAAGGAGCGAGAGTCCGTACTTGGATGAGCTTTTCTTCCATGTAATGGGGTGGGATGGGGGAAGGGGAGGACCATGCTTGTAGGGGGCTAGTGACTGGGGTCCCTGGTGGGGGCCTATGGCCCTGCTCCCGAGGCCAGCCCAGGTGGGAGCAGGTCTGTTGGAGGGTTGGTCCCAGATCTGCCTGATTCCAGTGAATCTGCCCCAGCTCCCAGCCGGCCAGACCGCGGAATCCCCCAGGCTCCCCGGCAGCCCTCCGTTCTCCCGAGCCAAGCGTGGCCGAGCTCTGGAGGTCAGCTGCCACTCAGGGGGCACTCATCCCACTTGCAGGGGCCAACCGCCTGACCCTAGAGGATGCCAACATCGTGCAGCCCATGGGCCTGACTGTGCTGGGCAAGCATCTCTACTGGATTGACCGCCAGCAGCAGATGATTGAGCGCGTGGAGAAAACCACCGGGGATAAGCGTACACGCGTCCAGGGCCGCGTCGCCCACCTGACCAGTATCCACGCTGTGGAGGACATCAGCTTGGAGGAGTTCTGTACGTGGGGGCAGGCAGTGGTGTGTGCGGGGGTCCCCCAGGGGAGAGTGGGCATCTGCAGAGCACAGCGACCCCTGAACTGGCCCCCTAGAGCAACTAGGAGGTTGGGCCGATGTGAGAGTTGTAGGACTGAGGCCCTGTTTTCTCTCTGGCTTTAGGAGCCAAGCGGCGGGAACGGCGCTTGGCTCCTAAAGGACCCTCGGGTCCTTCTCTGTGCTCCCCTCCATCTCGGTAACAGATCCAAACCTGCCCAACGTCCTTCTCTGCTTCCAGCCGGAGAAGCCACTCTGCTTTTCAAGGGCCCAGTAATTAGATTGGCCCACATTTACATTAAGTCCAGGTCTATTGATTAGTAACCTTAATCACATCTGCAGAGTCCCTTTTGCCATGTAAGGCAACAAAATCACGGGCATGGTAGCCCATCACGTCCACTGTGTGGGGATTAGGGTGGGAAATTTGGGGGGCATTCTGCCTACCCCAGCCTGGCTGTGCCCAAGGCCTTGAGAGAGGGACTTCTGGTTCCTCCACCCCTCCATATATGGCTGTCTGTGTATATAGGGGGGTGTGTGTGCCATGTCTGCCTGTCTCTCTGTCTTCCTACTCTTCATTCAGTAAATACACGGGGCCGCCAGCTGGGTGCTTGGTGCTGGGACAGAGCAGTGAGCAGGGCCATTGCTGTCCCTGTCCGCTGATGCCCACAGTCTGCCCACCTTCAAGGCCCCAGGAGCTGCCCTGCCAGCCTCCCCTCACCCCTTGCCCTCCCGCTGGCCTCGTCCCTGCTCCCTTGTGTCCCTCTCTCTGATCACCTTCCATTTCCTTCTCTGTCTGAGTGACCCTGACTAATCCTTTGGCTCTCACTCGGCTCAGGTGTCACGCTCTTAGTGGAAAAGCTTCTCCCCTGGGCCTCCTCCTTGGGCGTACAGCATTTTGACTCTCCTGCCCCCCAGGCCCCGTGCTCAGTGTATTATTACATTATGTACGTTATTTCACAGTAGTTCTGTTTTGCAGCTGAGGAAAGTAGGGCTCAGAAAGGGTATTAACTTCCCTGTCACCCAGCTACTAAACATGATAGGGCTCAGATTTGAGGCCAGAGCCCCTGTTTTAGCCACTGGGCTTTTGTCTGTCTTACCTCCGGTGGGTTGGGGAAAAACTGGCAACTAAGTTCAGTAGAATTGTGTGTGAAGTACAGACACGTGGATCTCGGATCTGAGAGCCGGGGGCGTGAGCTCTAACACAGTGAGTCGGTCACTTCTGTGTGAACTGTTGGGTGACTGGTTTCTGTCCTCGTGAGTTCTCGGCTGGGTCCTGGATAAGTGAGGTCGCTAGGTAAACAGCTTCCAGATAACTGAGGCACCCCATGGATATGGTCTAGAACGTGTGTGTTGGCCTGGCCCCTTATACCATCCTCAGCGAAGTCACGGATTCCTGGGTGTCACGGGCCTTCAGAATCGCTGGCAGTGGTCAGAATGGTGAATGTGGAGCCAATGAATGTCCAGACCTGCTGGTATCGGCAGAAAGCCAGGTGCACTGGCCAGCACTTCCTTGGAACTGAAGGGACAGGAGAGCCGGGAAACATTTAGTGGGCAGGTTTGAGGTTGGAAACCGGGACGTCCCCGTGAGCGCTAATGTGTGATGGCCAGGGTGACATGGAGAGGCAGGAAATCCTTAGGTGAGCTCCCTCATGTTTGTCTGGGACGTGGGTCACCCAGCCTGCTTCCCCACAGGATCTCACAGCTAACCCCTAAACCAGGGTGGCACTCCTCAGCCTGGGGCCACAGCCAGACGGCGCCTGTTTTGTGAATAAAGTTTTATTGGAGCCCAGCCACGCCCACTGGTTTCTGTGTCACCCGTGGCTGCCTTGTGTTACAGCTGGCAGACTTAAGGAGTTGTGGCAGATGGTCTGGGGCCCGTAAAGCCAAAATTAATTACTTTTTTGCTTATAGAAAAAGTTTACTGACCTCTACTCTAAACCATGACTTCTGTCATTTTAAAACACCTGATCCTCAAGGTTGAGGAGGGACAACTGTGTGATTGGTCGTTGGGGGCAGGGGTGTGGAGTGAAGCGTTTTCTTCCATTTCCTCTCCCCCAAGGGAGGTCAGCCACCTTCCCAGGCTCCTTCCTACTGTTCAGGTGTTGGGCGCATGTGGGTAATTGAATTGAAATGTGTGAGTTCCCCAGGGATTCGGCACCCCTCCTGCTTTAATGCCCATGTGTATTAGTCTCCTGCAACAGATCCCCATGAACTGGGTGACTTAAAGCAACAGAAATGTGTTCTCCCACAGTCTGGAGGCCAGAAGTCCAAAATCGAGGTGTCTGCAGGGCTGTGCTCCCTCGGGAGGCTCTTGGGGGGGGGGGTGCTCTTTGCCCCTCCCGCTTTTTGGTGTTTGCAGGCATTCCTTGTGTCTGCATCACTCCGGTCTCGGCCTCCATCTCCTCCACGTGGCCTTCTCCCCTGTGTCTCTTATAAGGACACTTGTCACTGGATTTAGGACCCACCCAGATAATCCAGAATGACCTCATCTCAAGATCCCTAACTTGATTACATCTGCAAAGACCCTTTTTCCAAATAAGGTCACATTCACAGATCCTGGGCCTTAGGATGCAGACATATCTTTTTGGGGGCCACCGCTCAGGCCACTACTCCCTGAGAGACAGATAGAGAGGCGAGCAGTGTAGGGTGCTTGTGTGGGCACAGTGGGAGCTGGTGCAGACCAGCCGGGGGATGATGTTGGGAAGATTCTGTAAGTGCTTTCGCCCTCTGTATCCTCATGTCCAAAATGCAGTGTCAATAGTAACAGACTCTGTAGGCCACCCTGAGAAGTAAGCAGGAGGATCTCTGTAGGGGCCTGGCCTACAGGAGTACCAGGTTCTGTGAGTTCTCGCCTGGCCCTCATCCCCAGAACCCTCCGGGCTGCAGTCATGAGGTGGGAGACAGAGCCTGACCCTCTCCCTCTTTTTGTCTCGGCAGCGGCCCACCCGTGTGCCCGGGACAACGGCGGCTGCTCCCACATCTGCATTGCCAAGGGCGACGGGACGCCAAGGTGCTCATGCCCGGTCCACCTCGTGCTCCTGCAGAACCTGCTGACCTGTGGTGGTAGGTGTGACCTCAGCACTTTCTGTTGGGGTGCTGGACAGGGACCTGATTCTCTGCCTGCCAGGTCACTGCCCAGCATCCTTTTAAAACCACGGACCCTGTGGCATCTAGTCTCCAAATCAGACTGTCTCCTCATTTGCCCTCTTTCTTTTCTAATATATGCATTCAGGGCTATGAATTTCCCTCTAACCACTGCTTTTGCTGCATCATACAAATTTGATAAGTTGTATTTTCATTTTCAGTTAGTTCAGATATTTTTAAATTTCTCCTGTGACTTCTCCTTTGGCCCTGGTATTATTTATAAGTATGTTGTCTAATCTCCAAATAGTTGGGGATTTTATAGCTATCTTTTTATTACTTATTTCTAATTTAATTCCATTGTGGTCTGAGAGCAGACATGCTATAATTTCTGTCCTTTTAACCTTGGTCAGGTGTGTTTTATGGCCCAGCATGTGGTCTGTTTTGGTGAACATTCCATGTGAGCTTGAGAAGAACGTGTCATCTGCTGTGGTTGGGTGGAGCATTTTATAAATGTCAATTAGATCGAGTTGATTGATGGTGCTGTTCAGATCATCTGTAGCCTTTCTGACTCTCTGCTTGAGCTGTCAGTTACTGATGAGGGTGTTGAAATCTCCAACTCCAGTAGTGGACTTGTCTGTTTCTTTTTATAGTTCTGTCTTTTCCTCACCTTCTGCCCTTGATCCTCTTTCTCCCCTGAGGCTGCATGGGGAGTGATCAAGAATGTTAGCTTTAGGGTCAGGCAGACCTGGGTTCAAATCCCAGCTCTGGGGGCAGGCCCCGTGGCGTAGTGGTTAAGTGCGTGCACGCCGCTGCTGGCGGCCCGGGTTCGGATCCCAGGCGCGCACTGATGCACCGCTTCTCCAGCCATGCTGAGGCCACATCCCACATACAGCAACTAGAAGGATGTGCAGCTATGACATACAACTATCCACCAGGGCTTTGGGGGAAAAAAACAAATAAATAAAATTAAAAAATAAATTTTTTTTTCAAATCCCAGCTCTGCCACTTCCCAGCTGAGCCATCCTGGGCTGGTCACTTGCCCTCTCTGAGCCTCTACTTCCTCCTCTGTGAAATAGAGAAACTGAGAGCACTTACCTGGTGGGGTTGTGATAGGCATTAAGTAACAGCACTCTATGTGGTCCCTGACGCATGGCACATGAGGATGCCATCTGCTATTAGTCGTGGGGATGGCAGTAGTAATAAAAAGTGATGATTGTCATTGTCACCATGATGAAGCCCAACCCCAAGGGCTTCCTCTCCACTACCCCAGGGACCCCCAGGTGACCCTGGATTCTCCCAAGTTCCCTTCTCCTCTTTGAGCTCCTGGGGGTCGGGCTTTATCCTGTCCTTGCCCCCCATGACACCCACAGTGTCCTACACACAGCAGATGCTCAGCACATGCCCGTCAGTACATGGACGCCTGTTCACAGCAGCTTATCTTGTCCCTGGAGAGCAGGAGCATGGGGCCCATCCTTCTGGAGCTTTCTCCTGCCCTGCCTCGCACTGTGAGCCCCAGAGATCTTGGCCGAGAGCAGAGGGGACGTTTTGTGGCAGTCTTCTGGTGAGAGCCCCCTTGACCCCCCTGAGCTTCCTTGTGGCTGTTCTCCAAGTTCCAGCCTCAGGGCTCCCATGGCTTTGTGGCCTGAGAGCGGCCGTGCAGTGCCCACAGATGTCCAAGCTGCCCTGGCGAAGAGGGGTCTGTGGAGAGAGCTGCGCAGAGCGTTCAGCTCTCCCTCGGACCCCAGCCCTGGGCCTCCACACGGAGGACTTGCCCCTCTGTCCTCCCTGACCCCCTTTGCTCTGACCCTCCAGACGTGAGGACACCAGACCCCATCCTCACGGCCCAGGGGCGTGTATTTACTGCATACCGTCTTCATTCTTCCCCAGCCACTTCTCTGGGGATCAGAGCAGGCTAAGGGCTTGCTGAGGTTCTCGGGAGATGATGTGGACTCCTGTGAAGTGGCAGGAGCCAAGCCGGCAAGGAACAGCCTGTGGTTCTTCAGCATCCTCAGCAGCGCCCCCACGAACGCTGTGTGAGCCCTTCCCGAGCCAGGCGCGGCCACACACACACACACACACACACTCACTCACTCACTCTTACCCCACCATCTCGGTTACTCCTCGTGAGGAGCCTGTGATGTAGGGTGGCTGCTTCTGTTTTAGGGACAAGGACATAAAGGCTCTGGGAGGCTGGGGGTTCCTCAGGTTGCACAGCTGCTGAGGGGAGCCTGGTTCAACCCCAGGTCCATCCCACCCCCACTGGTCGCACCCTCGCCTTCTCGACACGGCTGCTAGGACTACAGGCGCTGCGGAAAATCAGAGCTGGCCCCACAGGAGGGCCGTGGACCCTCTTCTTCCTGGCTGGGGGGTCAATTCAAACAGCATTCAAATGCACAGGGCCTTTGGGGCTGGAGTTCAGAAGTGGGCTGTGGCCAGCCTCTGGGCTTGTTCCTTGTTGGTGGCTCAGCGTGCAGACGTCCATTGCTGGCTCCTTCCAGATGCCTTGGGCATCCGGGGTCCTGCTGTCCCTGGCGTGTCCTTGGTGGCCGAGCCCAGTGGGGACAGCTGGCCTTCTTTTCAGTTTTACTCCCGTCCCTCCCCTCGTCTCATGTCCCTGTTCAGCTCAGCATGAACTGGGCAGTTCTGGGGGAGGCTCACAGGTTCTGAATGTAGGAAAGCTTACGGGCATTGTTGCAGCGTGAAATCAATCATTTTTTCTTAATCAGGTTTCAAGGGTGTTGAGGACTGTTGTTAAACATTGAAAGAAAGTTTGGGCTGATTTCCCAGCGGTCCCCTCCTCGAGGCTGGCCTCAGTTTCCTGTGATTTTCCACACAAAGGAGGGGAGGGCTGGTGATGGGAGCCCTTAGAAATGGAGGCAGCCCGAAGCTGAGGGGTTCCTCTCACTTTTCTCTGCTGGACCCCTTGCGGCCGTGCCCCGTCCGCGTCCCAGCTCCCAGAACGAGGTTATTCAGTGAGCACTACTGCGTGTCAGGCCCACACTTGGCATCTGCTAGGGAAGTTGACCCTGAGGGGTGGAGTGACTTGCCGTAGTCATGTGGTAGGAGGTGGCCCCACATCTCCTGTCCTTTGCCCTCCCAGCTCCCCAGCCTTACATGACTCCCTCCACCAGGAGCCTTCCCGCACCTCCTCACCCACTCTGCTCTCCTATGGTATCCTTGCCCTCTGGCCTTTCCTTAGCTGACTCCTCAGCAAGGTGCCCGGGTCCTCCACCAGCCCCTATGTGCCAGTGGGCATGCTGGCCGGCCGCAGAGCCCCAGCCCCACCGCTCCAGCCGCACCAAACGTGTAAGAGGCGTGGGTGCTGACCCCTGTTTTCTGACCCTCTGGCTCCTGACGGGGGTGCAGCGCATGCTCAGGTGTGGCCAGGCCAGCGTGCACACAGATTCTGTGCACCGGACTGACACCCTGGCCTAGGCCCCCGAGGTAGGCAGAGGCTCCCTTCAGTGGGAGGGCAGTCAGGATCCCAGAGGAAGGAGGTTTGCTGCAGCTTCCCAGCGGTGACGGCCCAATTCCCAGCCCAGAGTGTTTTCTGCTCTACTTGGTGTAGTGCCTGCTGCTTAAAGCTCAGGTTCCCAGGCAGCCCCTTTGCCCTCCACAGTAAAAAGAAAAGAAAAAAGATAATTGATGTCTTCTCTCTGCAAACACTTCCTAGCCGCGCCTGCATCGTGGGCTGGGGGCAGGGGGCGGACAGCAGACAGGACACACAGCAGTGGAGACTGTGGGGACGGCACCCGTGGATGCAGCGCGTCTCCCCCGTCTTGGCAGGGCGGGCGGCGCATGATGGGGTTTCTCTCCTCCCCAGAGCCTCCCACGTGCTCCCCCGACCAGTTCGCGTGCGCCACCGGGGAGATCGACTGCATCCCTGGGGCCTGGCGCTGCGACGGCTTCCCCGAGTGCGACGACCAGAGCGACGAGGAGGGCTGCCCAGTGTGCTCGGCCGCCCAGTTCCCCTGCGCGCGCGGCCAGTGTGTGGACCTGCGGCTGCGCTGCGACGGCGAGGCCGACTGCCAGGACCGCTCGGACGAGGCCGACTGCGATGGTGAGACCCCGGCCCCAGCCGGGTCTCTGTCTCTGCCTCGGGTCAGACCCCAGCCCAGGCCCCGCCTCCAGTCAGGCCCCGCCCATGCCCTGTCCC